GGAGTCTGGAGTTGGCATGATGGTACCGACTGGTGGCAGCCTGGAACACATGCTGGTTTGGAGGGGTTGCAGGAGACTCGTGTGGTCATTAATGATAGGGCACGTGATGATGCACTGTGGCATGACTGGGGAGCCGGTGACTCCCTTCACGGCGTGCTCTGCGTGGCATCCGTCCAAAGTGACGTACCGACGTTTCCACCCGCGACATGCTCTGCCTTTTGTGTGATTGGTTGGTCTCTCATTCTGGACAGGTGTTTCCATTACAGCGGCCAGGAGCGCACTTACACTGACTCTGTCGCATATTGCATTTCGCTGGGGTCCATGATTGCCAGCGTCCACAGTGAAGCTGAGAATACCGCAGTGACAGCGTTAATTCCAACCGGCGGTATTGGATCGGCGTACATTGGAGCAGAAAGCAATGGCGAGGGAGTCTGGAGTTGGCATGATGGTACTGCTTGGTGGCAACCTGCAACACATGCTGGTTTGGAGGGGTTGCATGAGACTCGTGTGGTCATTAATGATAAGGCACGTGATGATGCACTCTGGCATGACTGGGGCATCGGTGACTCCCTTCACGGCGTGCTTTGTGCAGCTTCTGCTCAAACAGTGGTGTACACGTCACCCTGCCCAACTTTGGCCACAACCGGTCAAGCTGTCAGTCTTAGTGGTCGAGTGCTGCCTGCTCTGGTTGCAATGGCCATGCTGTTGCAGGGTGCTTTCTAATTTTGAATTGTGCATGCGAGGACCCGCTTTTTGGGGTGTCGCCTTTTCCGGATGGTATTGATTACCTACAATGTAGGGATCCTACCCCAAACCCCAACCGAAACCCTACATCGGAACCGTAGTCGCGGCCAGCAGGCGAGGGCCCAATTCGGAAGCGGTCTGCTGTGCGATTGCATGCTGTCGGCAAGCTTCCTCTAAGAGGATGTGGCATCTCCGAGAGAATTGCCTGCAAAGCAGGTAAAACTCCCTAAGCCCTAAACCCTAAACCCTAAACCCTAAACCCCAAATCTCATCCTTGCGCTAGCTCATGTGGCTCAGGAGTTTGTGCTTGGGAGCCTTAGGGTTGAGGTGCTTCGAGTCTTCCGAAATATCGAATTTAGAACTTAGGAAGTTGAGTTTGCAAGTTAATTAGGCTTTGAGGGAGTCTGGGAGCTGGGACATGGCTGAGGGTCTATTCGCTTTGGGATTCAGGGTTTAGGGTTTGGGGTTTAGGGTTTAGGGTGTGTGCGGCAGGGGCCGGGGTGGTGGGCGGGCAGTAGGGTTTAGTGTGCAGGGCTGAGGGTTGAAGTAGGATTTAGACCGCAAAGCCAGGGTCGGATTGGCATGATGGTTTCGGATTGACGATCCTAGGGATTTTTAGTTCCCGCCGCTTATGACCCGTCCTATACTATATCTCCCGCGCCAAGCAAAGGATAGCCAGAATTTATGGGTCCGGCTTTGATGGCGACCGCGGCCCTTTTTTCTCCTATCCTATGTTCCTTACAAGGCCTTTGTCAGAGCCAGAACGCTACGCTGTTCCGTCAAGTTGTAAGTTGTGCAAAGCCCGTGTGAACTTCTGTTAGAAAACTCCGCCGTCCAAACCAGGCTCGCCCCGAGTACCGCCGCTACCTTGCTGAGGCCTCTTGCCAGGGCGCGGGGTAGGATGTAGGCCCTGGGCTCGCTGAGCCTTATAGCTATTCCTCATTGATGAACCTGCCTTCCTTTTTGCAGGAATGCCCGATCATCAATGACAGTTGTTGATCTGGGAATCTACATCGAGGTTTGAGGTTCAAGGCTTCATGTTGCGACTTAGGGCCTATAGGGTTTATACCACCTCTGGTTTAGGGCTCACGACGTCAAGCTGCTTTTCTGTGTTTGGAGGACTACATACTATGTAGGGTAGTTCTGACTTGGTCCTTAATACAGATATGATGAGGTTTCGCGTTCTCTGACCCCGCAAGCAGACTTAATGACTTTATGGTGTGGGGCTCAGGGTTTCCAACTTACTTCGATTATAATTCTGATTCGCGTTTCCCTAACCCTCCAGGTACCCACTATATAGGGCCCTCGGGGCTCCTCGGGCCTTATATAGTAGGGTTTAGGGTTTAGGGTTTAGAGTTTAGGGTTTAGGGTAGGTACCTGGAGGGTTAGGGTTTTTTCAAAACTTTAAGTAGTTAAGGCAGAGTTGAGGCCATGACATTCCTGGGCAGGTTCCTGTCGATCAGCGCGGGCCGGCCCCCTCCCCAGCTCTGCCGGGCTCCGGCTTAGATTCTTAGTGGCTGAGTAGGTAACCTTTAACCTTTTGGGGCTTATATAATCCTACCATAATTGAAAAGGTTAACCTTTTTTGGGCTAGGGCACTCAGCCCCTAAGGATTGCTACAAGGGCCCTTTTTTTCAGGGTACTGTAAGGGCCTTTTAGGGGCACTATCGGCTGGAGTCAGGGTTGGGTCTGGTGCCTTATGGGCTCTTTGGAATATGGGTTGGGGGTTTGTGCTTTATGTTCGACGGTCTCCTGGCCTCTGAGGGGGTTGGGCTGTCAGTGGTACTGCTATCTCTGCTCACGGATGTGAGTGTCCTTGTTCTTGTCACTGACACTCTCATCATCGCTGTTTCTGATTGTACGCTTCCCGTTCTCATGATCGTGATTTTGCTCGGGTTGCTGTTGTTTCAGCTGCTTTTCATGCCGCTGTCGCTGCAACTGCTGCCCAGATCTACCATATCCAATTGCACGCCGAGCTTTGTCTAAGTTACCAAATCAAGGGCATACAGTAAGCATCATGCAAGGAGCTGGATACGGCTCATGAACAAAATCCTGCATGACCTTATATACCTAAACTATGGGATTTATGGTACTATACTTGGGTCATGCAGAATTTTGTCCATCAGCAGTATGGTTTCGGGACTTCCTGTCCTCAAGACCCAACGTGAACCAACAGCCTGCAGCCCAAGCTCCAAAGTCACAACTCTAGCCCCAGTTTTACGGTATTCTCCATAACAAGTTCTGCAGTTTGAATACTCTAGGGAGTTTCAGGTCATGCAGGATTCGGTGCACGGCAATAATTCTCAAGAAGCCGCCGAAGATGGAGCTTTTAGCTGCAATCCGGCAATCGAAGGCTCATCCCATGACACCCAATCCGCGGGCCGGCGTCTCGGAGACGGGCTATCTCGCGTTTTGTGGGCTCAGGTCGAAATTGTCAACTCTCAACCAGGCAAGGCATTCTATAGAGGAATGCCGTCAACCCCCAAGATGAGGGTTGAGAGATTTGGGCCTAGGGTGAGGTGTAGCAGCCACGAGTGAATACAGTTCAGGGGCAGCCTGTGGCTGCATGACCACACCTGTTCGATTCTCGAAGCAATCTTACATCTTCTGCTGTTTCCTAGTATCTCATGAATCTTTACTGTATCGGTAGCCAGTATTTTCGCATTGTGCAGAAGGTTGACGTTGCGCGACTTAGACGTTAGTCTGGCTCGAGGTATGCAGGCAGATGGTCAGCTAGGCCGCCGATGAATCGTGTCGTCATAGAGTTGTAGAGATCGTGATGGCCCCCGGTTTGGGGGTAGGATACGTCTATAGGGTTGTACGAGAAGCCTCTGACCGCAGCTTGTTTGGAGCATCGCCTTGACCACATCGTTAACCCTCCATACTGTCGTTGATAGGTTCTAGCCGTCTGTCCTCGACAGGTCCATGGAAAGATCGACAAAGAGTGTATACCAATGTAGCTGCTATACAGAGACAACAACACAGACAGATAGATATGTTCATCCATTTCCAGTTAGGTCCCGAACGATCGCAACACCTAACTCTAGGACAGTTTCAGGTGGGTAGATACCGTTATAGGAGTCTGATAGAAGGTCTATATACCTTGTAGAAGCCCTATATACTAAACTCCCCACCTGTAGTTTCCTTTAACTAACTGCAAAAAGGATCGCGTCTCCAAGCGCCAGTTTGATCGTTCGCTGGGTGACTGGCTCCTTCCTCAGCGGGTGAACGGTTCTCTTCTTGGTAGTCCAAATTCCCGTGTAGGCGCTTTTCTGCACAGCTTCTTCTGCTGGAAGGAGAAGGGCTTTGGGCTTTGTGGGTTTAAGTGTATTGCTTGGCAGGCTTAGGATGGTTTAGGGTTGACCTGCGTACGTATGTGGCAGCACCGCCTCCGGTGGCAGGAGGAACAGTGGCCACAGGATGCCACAGAGTAGTAATACTGGTAGTGGTACTGATTGTCGTAGCACTCGGTGAATTTGAAGCAGTACTAGCAGCACCAGGAGGAGTAGTAGTAG